CTCGCGGCCAGCAGCGCGCACAACCCGAGCTCCCAAGGCGGCAAGCTGGGAGCCGCGGCAGCGGGCGCGGCGCCGCAGCCTCGGAAATCCACCCGCTGCAGGACGAGCGGCGCGCGCCGCCGGTCGCACGCAAGCGCCTCCGCCGGCGCCAANGTCGCACGCGGGTGCTTGCAGCGACTGGGCGGCGGCGAGGACGCCAGACTGGGCCGCCTGAAAGCTGGCTGCAGCTTGACAAAGAGCCCCCGCCGGCGCCGCGCTGCTGGCAGTGGTGTCCCGCCCCCGCCATGTTTCGAGGGCCAGTCGTTCCACGGTGGATGCCTGTGGCCACTGCTGCTCTGCCTGCTGCCCCTGCTGCTCTCCCTGCTGCCAGTGCTGCACTCCATGCTTGCCGCCTTGCTGCTCCTNCCCCCCCACCATGCCGCCGCAGCCGCTCCAGCAGCTGCTGCTGCCATCTGAGGGGCTGCAGCAGGCCAGAGGCCGCCGCCGCAATGCGCGCGCCTGTGGCGTCTCCATCACAACTGGCGCCAACGAGTGTGTCTGTGGCGGCACGCGGCGCTTGCGTCAACGCGTCCAGCAGCCCTTGCGCGCCGACATCGGACTGCGTCTGAATCATCAATTGAGCACGCGTTCAGGCCTCCCCCAGGTGATTACGCCACCCCCCCCCCACCCCAACCCCGGCGACCGCACCCACAACAGGCTCACCCCATGCACTCGTGCTCATGTTCATGACAGACGGCTGCGGGGTCGCACTCCACGCGGAGGCCCTGAACGGGGCGCGAGCTGTGGGTCTGCTGAGTGCGGACAGGGCAGCCGGGCATGGGGGTTTGAGAGGTTGCAAGTTCCCGGCTCCACCCCATCAGCTCAGCTTCTAATGTGCAGGCATGCCTTCCCTAAGGCCGCAAGCACCTTTCTGTAAATACGCTCTGTGTTATGTTACATTTTCATCTCACAAAAGCTGCACCGCACTTGCCGACACACATGGGGGCGCCAGTGCTGCTCAGGCATTTGTCGCACCGCGCAAAGGTAACATCCTATACCAATAGAACGCTTTCAGCAAGTTCACGATAGCGCCCCAATTTGCAAAACGCACAAGTTATGTCAATGTGTGTAGAACGCTGCTAGCCAGGCTGAGATCATCCCTCGACAAGCCCTTTCAAGGAGCAGCTAGCAGCTAGCGGCAGACGCAGCAGCCACAGAAGCATGTCTGAACGGCGAGCAACTGGAGCGGAGCTCTACGCCATGTCCAAACACTTGGGCGTGCGCTGTGGCGACCTGCAGATCGCGTACATGCGTTGCAAAGAGAAATATAACCACCCAGAGGACTGCCTACAAGAGGCCAAGGCGGTGGTGCGCTGCTCGGACAACCTGTGAGTTCAGCAGTGGCGTAGCGCTCCCCACGGCATCAGCACACTCGGGCGGCGCGGCACTCGAGCAGTGCAGGTTTTTTTGCGCTGCAGCATTGTGCACGGCCGGAGTGCCTCGTGGCTCATGAAGCAAGTGGGCTGTTGGCATGCTGTGTGACGCCCCTGCCTTGAACGCATCGAGCGCTCCCAGCAGCTCCCTGAACAGCCGGGTCCCGCGGCAAACGGCGCCGCACTGTCAACGAGTCAGCCGCACACCACGCCCCGTCCTTCTCCGCCCGCCTGATGAGCAGCCGCACTCCGAAACCCTGCGTCACCCTCCCTCTGCCCGCCCCAGCCTGCTGGAGATGCTCGAGAAGGTCCCCCGCGAATTCAAAGACTACTGCGACTGCCTCGATTACTACACGTGAGATCCGGCCGGCTGAGATCTGAATACCCGATCAGATCTGGACCCGGGACGCGTCGCTTGGGCATGGCTCGTGTCAGCAGGGATTCCGCGACACGCTGATTGCTGGTGGAGGCGGCGTGGAGGCCGGGGTTCTCTTGCGGGCCAAAACCAGCTCACGCAGGGATGGGTGTCGCATTCAGTCAGCGCATCCACGCGGGCGCGGGCCACATGGCGGCAGCACGACAGGCGCGCCCGCCGCGGGCGCCTGCGATCGGTTGACCCGAGTGTGTCAGTGGTGTTTGCTGAGGTGGCGGTCATGGCGCCCTTCACCGATATCGATCGACATGTTTGACCCGAGGTCAAACGCCCCCCCTTCCCGCCGCCGCGCCTGCAGCCTGGACATTCGGAAGTGCCGCGCGGAGCAGAAGACACTCGAGAAGGCCAGCCCGCCCAGCTGACAGGAGCCTTCCCGGAAAAGCAGCCAAACGGCACTGCCGGCCATGTGCGCGCCCGCCGAGCGCCGCCGCCCAGCAGCACCCACCCAGGCTGCCGCGCCCGCACGTCCGGCGCCCTGCCGGCCGGTGCGGCGCTGCGCACGGCTTGCCGCAAGGCGCCGCGGCGGCGGGCGTGGTGGGGGCGCACTGCCTCGGCCGGCGGCGGCTCCTGTTTAGAGCGTGGGGAGGCGCCTGGAGCTTGACTCGCGGCTTGCACTCGCTGATTTTTCCCGCCCGTTCAGCCGTTGGCCACACTGGTTTGCTGACGGCACGGCATGCAGTTGCTGTAATCATCAACACGTGTCATGATGACAGCGCACGGCACGCATGTGGGGCAGACCAACGCAGACGAGGCCGCAGCAGTCAGGCATGTCTGCAGCCGGGGTTCGCCTCAAGAGTGGGTGTGTGCCTGCCCATATACGGAAGCGTCCCGATCAGCCGCCCCCTCCCCGCGCGCCGCTGCTGTCCGCCGCGAGCGCCGCCGCGAGCGCGCGCCACTCCCGCGCCGGCGCCGCGCCGTGCGCGTCGAGCAGCGAGGCCATGACGGCCGCCAGCTCGGCGGCGGCGGGGGCGTCCAGCACGCCAGTCTGGCCGGCCTCTGACAGGGCGGCCCAGGTGGCCTCCTCGTGGTCGCGCAGCCAGTCTGCCGGGAGCGGCACGTTGAGCCTGGGGGATGGGGAACGGGAGACCCGGGGTTGGGGGCAGAGGATAGGGG